TAAGGTTATTCAACATATTGCTACTTGCTATATATGATTAGTTAGTCACAGATGTCTGTTTTCTTCTGACTTTCCACAAAGAAACATTGAGGAAAGACTAGTGCAACCAAAAGAAGTGACTGGTAACATTACAAAATATCACACCCCACTTGGTGATCTCATTACCTCCTGGTTTAGAGTAATCAAGAAGTCATTCTTTCATGGCACTCCCTCCATAAACCCTCAGTCCTCCATGACACTGGATTCATCTGCCTTCTCCAATAAACACAGCACTATGCCCAAAGCTGGAGCAGTTAGACCCAATCCCCAGAAGGCCAACAAGCCTCAAAAAACCCATGAGCATTACTCAGTGTTTGGTTGACCATGACTTTATCCAAGCTTGAAAGAATGGTTCATAGCTGACTTCTTTAAAACAAACAAACAAACAAAACACCTAGACTCTTAAGTAGACACAATAGCAACTTTAAAGTAATGTAATTGGAACTACCAAGATTATGGTCCTTATTTTTGGAGGGCAAAGAAAGTAGGCTGCCTTTGGAGATGGGGTAACAATTTCTGATCTGCTATGAACCGCTCAGATAGCGAGAACCTACCTGTGTGCTTACCCTAAGGTCAACACTATGAGGGCATTAACAGGCTCTGAAGCTACACTGCCTTGGTTTCAACCTTGACTTTGTGGCTTACTGTTGTGTCACCTTGAACAAGTCATTTCCTCATCTATATAATGTAAATAATAATAGTATTCACCTCGGGGAGTTGATGTGAAAAGCAAATGCTCTCAAATACAGTAAAGTTTGTGTTTGGTGCATAGTTGGCAGACATCAAGGATAACTATTTCTACCATTATAGCCATTGTAGTCTCACCATGGAAGAGCTTTCCACAAGTAATTAAATTACCTGAAAAGGTCCATGAGGAGAAAAAAAATTCCCTCCCAATAGTTCATGTGCAATTTTCTTTTTTTCTCTAGGAGCATTGATCACAATGTGACATAAAGCACATTAAACATTGTTGTAAATGTTTCCTGGTAAATGCAAGGCTTTCTGATAAATTCCTACTTTCTTTTTATTTGTTCATTTGTTCAGCAAAATATGTTGCATGCCTACAGTGTGCAAAGCACTATTTTAGATATGACAGAGTATGAAAAGATAAGTCACCATCCCTGTGAAGAGTTTGCAGTTTAGTAAAGGAGGTAACTAACTCTATTAAGGAGTAGAAGGTGTGAGAGTGATAAGAAGAATGAAGTCAGAAGGAAGAGAGATTAGTTTGAGGATGAAGAAATAAACACAAAGATGATTTTAACTGAGATTGGTCTTGAAGGATAGCTGTGATTCAGAAAAGCAAAGCTGGCAAAATGGGGCAGGTGCCACAGACCAAAGGAACAGCCTGAGAAGGGTAAGTGTGTAGGAGAACGGTAGTCATGTCTTAAAGGTATTGGTGGTGATGTTGACCAGAGACGAACGGTGAACTCTTTGAAATTTTGGTGTTGTGAACACAGGCTCAAATGCTATTTTGGTTTTTTTTTTTTTTTGAGTTGGGTCTCACTCTGCCACCTAGGCTTAATTTCCAGCTCACTGCAGCCTCGGTTCCTGGGCTCAGGTGATCGTTCCACCTTAGCCTCCCAAGTGGCTAGGACTACAGGTGCACGCCAACACACCGTCTAATTTTTATTTTCTTTAGACTCACTCTAATTTTTATTAGGACTCACTATGTTGCCTAAGCTGGTCCCAAGTTCCTGGGATCAAACAATCCTCCTGCCTCAACCTCCAAAAGTGCTGGGATCACAGCATGAGCCTCTGTGCCCAGCCAGCTGTTGCTTTTTATTCCCTACTTCTACCTCCATTTCAACCCTTGTAGCAATGTAACTTCAATCAAGCTCTATTTACAGCCAAAGATGTTGTTTAGAAAGCATCTCTTTTTTATACCACTCTTTGTGTGGTACTCATTATAAACAGAAGAAAGCAATAGGATGTAAAGGGTCTTCACAGTGTGATTTTGGGTTTTTTTTTAGTTTAAAGGAGCTCATTTGGTGTTGTGTTGGAAGAAACAGTTTTTATATTCCAATTGCCAATCTTCCATGGCGTATATATCTGAGGTTTGCAGTCTCAGCCACAAAACACTCCCAGTGTGAATACGTGGAGTGCTAAGTGGAGCCAGTTGGGAAGCATCTGACAGAGAAAGGCAGGCAACATGTATAAACAGAGTTAGTTCAGGAATGAGAGCTGAATGGCTGGGCGAGTCTGTTTGAGTTGACAGCCTCTCCCTAACTCTTTCATTAAACACCCAACTAACCTTCAATTGCCCTCTTAGAACTTAATCTCAGTGTAATTTCCAGCATTTCAAAATCATCAAGCAGAAAGAGGTACGACCCTGTCAGAGGATCTTTTGTTCAATGCTAGGAGACTAACTCAAACTACAAAATTCTACAAATGCCCTAAAGTGGGAGGTAAGATGGATTTATAAATCACTAACTCTATTAGGTTGTGTAAATAATAATAGATTTATAACAAGCTGGCATGCAGCTTTAAAAATAAAAAGTCCCTCTGAAACTTCTGGGAACTTGGATTTCCAGAATGTTAGCAGAAAGAATGTTTCTGATGCTATAAACCTTGCTCTGCCAGGGAAACATAATTTCAGAGTCTTTAGAAAGCTGGTTTATACATAAAATTCATTCAGAAATAAAGTTTATGTTGTGTTTTCTCTGATCTCCCCTATTGTAAATTTATTAGTACAGGAACTCTTTTTATCAGTCCCTCTACAACCACTTCTCAAAGTATTGTCCTCAGACTACCATGAAGATTCCTGGGACTCGTCCCAGACCTGGTAAATAACAGAGACCTGGAATTTTAGAGAGCAGAAACTTCTTCAACATTGTAATCACCAGAGTTACCTAGATTCTTAAGTTATTATTTTTTTTTCAGCTTCTGTCTTCCCAGACAACTTAACCAAAGAGAAAACTAATGCTGGGTTTAGATATTCTCAGCTGGCACCTTGTCAGACAGATGATGTCATCCAAAGTCAAAAGCTTAATCCAATACCTTCATCAACAAGTTGTAAATGGCCAGGAATCAATTGTGGGTGGAACTTATGCAGAGGATAATTACGAACCGAACTTCTTTCAATACCCAATTGCTACTTACCTTTCTTCCTCTTAAAATGTACCACTCTTCTCGCCTTTCCTTTTTGTTTGTCTTTTCTTTCAGATTCTTCTCCTTTCTGTTTACCCACCACCTCCCACACTGAGTAATGCACTGACTGTGGGAGATAAGAAGAGAAATGATTATAACCACGTCACTCTTGCAAAAACATGTCTTCCAAAGTAGTTTTGTTTCTAAGGTATAAACTCCACACCACCTCAGCCCGTTTAAGCTTTTCTTATTTAAGTACAAAGAAGGACATATTTTGGATACTAACAATTTCTCTATTTTCTAAACACCATCTTTGATGTTAAATTTAACACTATTACTAAATAGCGTTACAAGTTTTATATTTTAGGTCAATCAATTATTTGATAGCATTGCTATGTGTTCTACAAAAGAAATCAAAGTAAAATTTGCACCTCTTCTAGACATTTTAGAAAGTTGACAGGGAGGCTGTGTGATTGAGTGGGAAGACATAGACCCTACAGAGGAAAGACCTGGGTTCAAGGAAATTGATATAATGCCTCTAAGTCGTGTGATTGAGTGGGCAGTGTGATTGAGTGAGAAGACATAGACCCTACAGATAGAAGACCCGGGCTCAGGGAAATTGATATAATGCCTCTAAGTTGTAGTTTTCTAGTAAAATAAGAATCCAAACAATGCTTATTTCAAATAATTATTGTAGGTGTTAAAGAAGATAATGAATATTTTATTTCCTGATGAAACATTTATGAATCCCTGATAGTGCTAAGAAAATCATAACTTGTTGCTTGACCGTCTTTCTTTTATTTTTTGTTTTTGTGTTTTTCAAAATGAGAGTTGGTTTTCCTGTCCTTTCCTTCATGATTTAGGATATTTCATTTTCTCTTTTGGCTCATCTTCAGTCCAATGTGAGCCACAGTACCCACATTCAGATGCCACTGTTTCCACCAAGTGGGTACATGGGGATACTGCAAGCCAAATGCTAGATGTGACAAACTACAGCTTCACGATGCTGTGGCAGGTAGTCAACTGTGCGTATGGACCCAAACCAGTAGCTTTCCCACTCCTTTCTTGGTGACATAAACTAACACAAATTTGACCAAATACTGCAACACCACCTTACTCTTTCTTCCACCCTGATTTGCCTAGAGTCAATAATCAACTACAATTTGAAATTTTTTGACTCTCGCTTCAGTCTCTAATGCTTCTTCCTTACAAGTACCTTACAACCACAGGCCTTCAGAGAAAGCTAAGGCCTGCATTGTCAGGGTGGGAACTAGTGAACCACAACAATTAACTATGATAACATCCACAGCATTTTATATGTGTTTAATCTTTACAACCTTGGGACTAGCAGATGGATATTTTTGTTTTATGAGTTAGGAAACTGAGGCTGAAATTGGTTCAATGACTTTGCTAAAGTTGCCCAGTTCGTCAGCAGCAGGACAGGCTCAAACCCTTGACTTAGCCAGGGTTTTCTTTGTCCTCCTCCTAAGCTTCCTCCCGCATCCCATGCTGTGAATGTTTCTGTTACTCCATCAATAACATTTTCAAAAGTTACCTTGTATGGCAGCTACCTGCACCAGTATATTAGAATTACTTGGGTAGATGTAAAATATTACTTGGGTCATTTTAAAATATGAATGCTAGGTCCCCTCTAGACCAATTGAAGCCAAAATTCTGGGCAAGGAGCCTCAGCAACTGTAATTTTTTATTTTAATTTGGCAAATGATTCTGTTGTACTGTGAAAATTGAGAGCCACTGATTTACATAATGATTTTACTCCTGTGAAAATTTTTTTCTATTGCTTTAATAATTAATCAAGGATATGTTATTAGAAATTTTCTTATTAACACATAGTTTCTCTCTTGTAATAACAGGTGGATGAGATATTTATAGATTCGACCTTGAACAAGCATTATATCAAGAACCATGTAGTCAGACTGACGTATGTATGTTTGGGCAAAGGTGGGGTCATAAACCTGGAGGGACAAAGGGCAAAGGAGACAAAGACCCTTACATACTGTATGTCTTTTTGGAGTAGGCACTCCTCTGGGACTTTTCATAAACATTATTGCTACAACAGTAGCAACATGTAGGGCTGACTACCATTTTACAAATGAAAAACCTGAGATTCGGGGAGGGTAAGTTATAAGTTCAAAGTTCCCCAAGTGACATTTTCCGCAAGTGACAGAACGAGGACTCAAGCCCCATCGACTGATTGTAAAGCCTGGAAACTACCAGAACCTATGGCCTTTGGAAAACCTAGCAGCATGTCATTGCATGTACCAAGTTGTATTCTTTCAACAGATACATTATTTCAAACATATTAAGAAGGCAAGATTGACTACAAAATGGGATCATAAATTTTACCTGTAATAAAGCCCCAGTGACATGAGGCATGCCCAAACGAACAGATGTCCTGTTGTAATAAATTTTCTTTTTGTTGTGGTTCAGGGGAAAACTCATATCAGTTGCAGAAATTGCTCAGAGGTTTCAATTGTGTTATTTTGAAAATTACATAGCAGAACATAAATGTCATAGGCACAAACCCATGAGACTATGATTCATTTTCTTCTTAAAGATAAAGAAAAAGACTAAATTTGGATTAGGATTTATTTGAAGGAAATAATAATCAATTTTCTTACCAATAGATTATTGTCTTATTAGTAAACTTCAAGTTATTTATATCTTTACGAGTAACTAGTGACTTCTTTGAAATTATGTAATATGAAGATAATAATTTCTATAATATTTAGGAGATTAAAAGCGTATACATATTGGAACTTTCTACATTTCATGACTTCTATTTTCAAATTCTGCTTTGCCACATTATTCTAGCAACATTATCATAGTCTTATGAACTTCTTTGGATTGTAGCCCTTATCATTATGTGATTTTTTTTGTGTGGATCCACTGAAATTCTACCTGTAAACAATGTAAATTCCTCTGATTTAAGAGGGAAACTTCTTGATCATCTGTTTGCCAATCTGATGCAAAATTTTGATTACTGAGATCTTTATATTCTGGAGCCTAAATAGACTACAGTACATAAAAGATCTTAGAACTGACATAAATTCCTTTTTATTAACCAAAAGATTCAGGAAGATAAGCTTCTAGTGTTTTTCAGAGCTTATATTTTTTGAAGTGTAAAAATAGGAGACATGGCAGATTAATATGTATTAGTTGCTGTTTCTTTAAAAAACCTATAATGGTTTGATTTTTACATTTTAAGAGTACATACAAATTTAGTTTCCCAGGTAAAGGGACTTGAACATTTTTACATGATATTCAAGAATCTAGGTATGTTTAATCTGGAGAATACTCAGGGATCACAATGTTGCTGTCTTCAAATATTTTAGAAGAAAGAAGAAATTGTTTTATGTATGTTCCAACTGATAGACTTGTGCCTTATAGAATGGAAGTTACAGGGGGACATTTCAACTCAAAATGAAGAACTCTTAAAATCAAGGCTGATCAAAGAGAAACATGCCTCTTTAGAGAATTCAATTTCCCATCATTTTAATTACTGCACTGGGATTAGAGAACCATTTGTTATGGATGCTGTAGAGGTAATTTGGGCATCAGATATATGATTGATTGACCTAAGAGAACACAAAATTTTCTTCTCAGAGTTTATAATTTTAATGATGATTTGTTTAATATTTTAGTCATCTCTAACTGCTGTAATAAGACTTTAAATTAGTGGGGAAAATGCATTCAAAACACGATGAATGCTAGAAGAGAAGAACATATAAAATGACCTTGGCCATTTTGCCTAGTGATATAAGGAGTGACATATAGAAGAGTATGAATGTGAGAGGATTAGCACTTGACAATCTCAACAACTGAGGTCTAATTCAGGGGAAGAAGATTCAGGAAAGACTCAGTATCAGATATATTCTCTGAATATGCATCTTTCTCTTGCATATCACAGTCCAGAGGAAGATGGTGTGAAAGCAGATGTTATTATGGTGTTCCAGTTCCCTTCTACTGAGCAAAGGACAATAAGAGAGAAGAAAATTCATAGCATCTTACATCAGAAGATAAGGAATATAAGAGCCTTGTCAATAAATGCCTCATCTGTTCAAGTTAATGGTAAGTAGGTGCCTTTCTGTGTGATATGAAATTCTCCATTAGGTCTACATTTTTTCTCATCTTAAACTTATTTGTCACTATTGCCATTCCAAATAGTAGCTAGAATTCAGATGGAAAACAAGTAGTTAAGGAAGTGGCATTTCAGGGTTTTATTATTCTCTGATGAAAATGTGTCTGAAGTTAGTCATCAAGTAGTTTTCCTGATAGTAATTGATTGGCACTCATCCCAAAATAAAGGCAAACCTTTACCACTAACAGAAGGTTAATCCGACCCAGTCATTGCCTCCATGACTAAGCCAGTGAAAATTCCAAGGGTTTAGCAACAACTGTATTTCTGAGTGAAACTTTCCTAAAACACAAGTTCATTAAAATGTATGCATAGTTTCTATATACAGTGATGTTCTGAAGCTTTTGTTAACTTTCTTTCTTTGGGCATTTGAGAAAATGGCAAACCAACTTTGAAATAATGCTTTCAAAAATAACTGAAACCATTTATACGTTGTTTCACTCTTCTCTTTTTTGCTCACCCTTAGCCATCATACCATTACCACTTCTCTAAATTAAAAAGGACCAACATTTATCAAGGCTCATCTCTAAGCCTTATACATGAAATAACTATCTTACTTCTATATTCCAATGAAGCAGGCAAATCCACCTTTATAGAAGTGAAAGTCAGGCCAAAAAGATTGAGGAGTTCAATAGTTAAAAGGAGCTAAGATTCAAATTTAGATGTCTCATGTCCTGAGAGACTCCATAAAAAAGAAATTTCTGTGGTCAAGCACATTTTAGAAATTCTGTCTATGATACTCATCTCTTGGAAATTCATCCCTCATAATAGCATATTAAAGTCTCTGAAAACTCCAGCAAGACAAAAACTTGTTTACCCTTGTACACTAAGTTGCTGCCACAACATCTATTTCCAGCAGACAAGTACAGATTTCTCCTACAACTTCCAATGGATACCAGACTTAAGAGAGTCACAGATTCAGAACAAGTGATTTTTATCAGACATGAAATAGGATGCCCTGCCCTTGTTAGGATGTAGCTGACTCTTCAAGATGAAACCAGATCAGGAAGTGAAAATCTGAGGTAATGGAATGGGCAGATGTTTGCTGATGTGACAAAGAGTCTGCTACTCAGGGAATAAAGCTAGGGACCTCTCCCAACTAGGAGGGAGGAACTTGTCAAGTGCTTAATCCACCTTCTTTGTTCGATGGGCAAGCAAATGAACTGAGGTTGTGAAATAGTGACCATTCTGATAAGTTACATGAAGTGTTCTCTGTAATTCCCAGTAATCAGTTAATTTGCCAGGAATTTAAAAACCTAATCTGAAACCAGAAATGAAGCATGAAATGGTCATTGACTGCCTGGACTTTTTGTTTCTTACAGGCTCAGCCTCTGAGCTTTAGTTTATTTTAATGATTGTACTAGATTAAAAGGCAGGATGTTCTGATGAAAAACTTGATTAGAGAGTTATCTAATCATTTCTAACTCCACTGAGTCACTGCAGGACCACCCAAATAATTGGTCTGTGCCTTTGCCTCCATTTTCTCATCTGTAAAGTTGCAATGATAATATCTGTTCTTCCTGAAATTACAGAAATATTATAGGAATATACAAGACAATAGAAAACATAATGTGGAATAATTAAGCTATTACTACTGAGAAAGCAATCAAATTGGGCATATGCTTTGAAACCTGAAGACATTATTGTGACTTGTAGTAAGTAGTAAGAGGTAGGTCTGTGAAAACGTCAGGATTTCCAATGTTAAAAAAGCAGTGTATACTAGCACTTAGGAAAGGCCTATTTAGTGGAAAGCTCAGCAGAATCCTTTAAGGCAACTCTTATAGGCAAAAACATTGCTCTCGAGAAACACGTAATTTTGGGACTTCCAATAAGTAGAAAATCAGAGAGATTCTAGTTCAAGTTCAGAAATTACTCAGTAGTTCAATATGCATCCATAATTTGTCAAGAATCTGTATTTTGTTTTGACTAATAGCCGTGTGGTACGGGTCCTTCAAGAGTTGCAGTGTGTGGAAGCAAAACTAAAATCAACTTCTTTGCATTGCAGAAGCCATGGTTGTGGTAAAGTAGCTCCCTGACTGCATGTCAGGTGACTTCTGCTCCATTTTCCACCATGATACTTGGAGCACGTAGAGTCCTGAATACTAAGTAGCTTTCTCCCAACAGAGGAATGTGTTGGAAGGTGATCACTTTTAAGACTAAAGTTTTAAAGTTTCTGTTCACTCCTATGCTTGGAAAATAAAAAAATATTTGGCCAGAATTAGAAATCTTCAACCGCCAGTTACTGGTATAGTGCTAGTTTACCACCAGGTGTAATCATTCTCCCTAAAAATCCAATTATTCACAACCATTAGGCTTACCCTCTTATCCTGGAGATGAATAACTTTCAAGTTGTTCGGAATAAATTGACAAAGTTCTAACTAAAAAATTCTAGCATTATATTACTTTCTACTTTAAAGCATTACAAAGGACAAATGAAATCGTTTTTGATGAAACAAGAATTTTACTATCTTAAACTACATTTGACAAAAATATTAGTTCCTTCCATAGAGTAAGCCCTGAGAAGTTTTCCTGAGCAACTGATTCTTCATCATACAACGATTTGAGGATGCCTCTAAGGAAATCGTTGAGTTGGATATTTTCAGAAGCTCCCACTTTGTAGCTTTTCAAGTGGAATTTATAGAAAGTTTATAAAATGAAGCATGCTTATTTTGCACAGTGGAGGAAAGGACATGGAGAATGTGTCTAAGAAATACGGCACTGGCAGAAAAGAGTAAAATGTTTATCCTCATCTGCTTAGTAAGCCATTTTACCTTGGAAATCATCACAGTTTTCATGAAAACTTCCACAAACTTAAGTCTGTTTTTCCCCAACTTTATGAAGGTATAATTGACAAATAAAAATCACATATATTTATGGTATACAACATGATGCTTTGATATATGTATATGAGTATAAATGTTTGTGTTTCCTTAGTCTGATTCCTAATTTTGTTAGAAATACAGAATTTAGTCTTGGATTGTGTTCAATAACTAGCCTTTACCAATATTCAGCAGTTGTTGGGTAAGAATACACAATAGCTTATTCTTCAAAAAAGAAAGCATTTTGATCACTTAGGAACTGTGTTGTAGAAGTATGTAAAATATAGTCTATGTGGAAGTTTTTTCACCTAAAATCTTTTATTAAAAAAAGCATTATGTGAAATTTAAGGTAAACCAAGGAGACCAAAGCAGACCCTTTTTAGCTGAGACTGGGGACCCAATTGCTTGCTCCCTTTTTCTCCACTTTCCCATCTCCTGAAGTGGAATCCAAGGAAACCTTACCCTGCACTGTTGAAAAACCACAGTTCGGATGACTACCAACTATTTGTGGGCTTCCATCATCCACTGTGTTGCTTTACTTGCTTAATGCTTGAAATATTATCTACTTAAATAAAAGTTGCCTATAAGTCTCTACAAAAACTATACTCATATATTTTATCAGATAGTCATTCTTCTGACTGATCTGCGTGTTCAACTGTCTAGAATCTATATTTGATCAGTATCCTCTGATAATTCCTGGTCATTGAGACCAACCGGGAGAATATAAAATTATCATTCTTATTTTTATTTTGTTTTTCAGCAATGAGCTCATCAACAGGGAAGCTAACTGCCCAAGCATGTAAGTCTAGTTAGCTTATATGAACAAGTTCAATTTCCACATCAAAAAGGACATCTTTAAATATTAGCTCATAATTCCTCATCTGTGTTTAAGATGGGAATAACAATTGGGCAATGTAAATATTTTTTTCTAATTCTAAGATTTATCGTTTAGTCATATTCTAGAAAAACATTTTACATGGTGCAATGTCTGGGGCAACTTGAAAAAAATATATATTTCTGGTTTGAAATAAGTGGACTTGCTTTCTTAATTTTTAAAAATTCTATGAAATGTGCTTTCTGCTAAGAAATAAAATAATAAGAAAGTAGTAGATGGGGAAGAGATAAACCCCATTATCTGTGACTGACTACAAAATATTCTTCATATTTTCATCTTTATAGCTAGCGGTGGCTTCTGTTAACTCACTTAAAATCACTATGGCTGGCATTTTGAAAGATTTCACAAAAGTGCTGATGAATTTGGGCAGTGATGTTCATGTATTTGCTTCTGTGTCTTAATACTCTAAGCATTTTATTCACTTATTTATTCATTTAACAAATATCTTTGAACATCTACCAAATGTCAGAAAGTGTGCCATGGCCAAATCATTGCAAGACATGATCATTGCCCTAAAATTAGAGTTCCAACGTAAGGAAAGGTATAAATCAATCAGGAAATGTGAAAATAGTGGGATAAATGCTCTGCCAGAGAAAGAGCACAGTGCTGTGAGAGTTGGTCAGAGAGTCAGCTACCTTGTTCTCAGAAAGCGATCCCTGAAACAGGAGAGAGGAGAGGCTACGAATCAAGTGAGAGGTAGGGTGAGTGTCACAGAAAGGGCATAAAAATGTCTTTGGGCAAGCAAGAACATGGTCATTTCTTGTCATTTAAAATGTCAGCATGTTTAGAATACCGAGTGGAGGCTGGAAACATGGGAAAGGGATGTGATTAATGGTAATCAAAGGTGAGAACCACAGAGGCAATGAAGAGTCGCTGACGGGTGCACACATTTCAGAAATGTCACTCAGGCTGCAGTGTGGAGAATGGATTGGAGGGGCAAGGGTGGAGGCAGGGAGATGAACAGGGAAGTTGTTGCACTCCTTCAGAAGAGGAAAAAATGGTAGACTACATTAGAGTCATAGTGGAATGATGGAGATTTCTGAAACAGCTAGCCACAGTTGGCGTGTAATCAATTGAATTACTTTTTTGTAAATTGAATATACTTTTTTGACACCTAATTAGTTGGAACAAGAGTTAAACCTACTTGCCAGGTACAGTTGTTCACACCTGTAATGCCAGCACTTTGGGAGGCCAGGGCAAGAGGATTACCTGAGCCCAGGGGTTCAATTAAGACCAGCTTGGGCAACTTGGAGAGATCTCATTTCTACAATAAATCAAAAAATTAGCCAGGTAGGGTGGACCATGCCTGTAGTTTGAGCTCCTTAGAAATTTGAGGCAGAAGGATTGCCTGAGCCCAGCAGGTCAAGGCTGTGGTAGCTGTGAGTGTGCCACTGCACTCTAGCCTGCGTGACAAAGTGAGATTCTGAATTTAAAAAAAAACAAAGAAAAAAGAATTGAACCTACTATATTTTCTTTATTAGCATCATGCTCTAAATAGACTTAGTTCTCAGCAAGAACTCTAAGCAATAAAGTAATCTTGGATCTGATGCACATGAAGGAGTACATGACTGTTCCTGGCAATAGTGAATGTGATGTTTATATGGGACTCTCTATACTGTAAAATGAGAGACTAGTCATGGTATACTAACCTCTGCACACTTTAGGAACTGGTCCTTCAGAAAAATAGATGAGAAAGAGAATTCCAACAAATGGACAATTACTTGTCTGGCCAGGGGGAGTTGTTCTTTTGGTAAGGATTTTGTGTCAAGGTAACACGACTGGATCGTCTAAAACTGGGAAACTGTAATCCTAATGAGAGCTTTCAGGAGTTCTGAAAAGTGAACACTGCAAATCCTCAGGGCTGATTTGACTTTTTGTAGCATGCTGAGCCACCACAGCTTAACATAACTCTCGTAAGCAACATATATCACATTTGCAAAGGTAGAGAGTAAGCAAAACACCAATATATCAGGAAATACTGAGAATGGACAGTGATATAGCGCATGCTTATACAATGATAGATAGTACTATTGCATTTTAGTGCTCTATTAGGATCTTTGTATCAAAGATTAGAGAGATATTTCTTATAACGTAACAATCTTTTCTTTTTCAGGTTGTGGTAAACGAGTTGTTCCATCAATAGTTAACAGAATAATGTCTGGAGACATTGCAGCCAAGGGTGCCTGGCCTTGGCAAGCTTCTCTTCAGCGAAACAATGACCATCAGTGTGGGGCTACCCTGATTAGCAATACATGGCTTGTCACCGCAGCACACTGCTTCAAGAAGTAAGTTATTGACCTTCAGTCAAGCCCCATTACTGCTAAAAAGAAAAAAAAAAGCAGAGTTTGCCATATTCTTGGTAACAAAGTTCAAATATTATTGAAGTTATTCACTTAATGTTATTTTTATTATTGTTTAGTTACTTAATTTCTTTTGTTTTATTTCGTTATTTAACTTTATTAAGTTATTTTTCCTATTTTTTAGAAAAGGTTCTTTTCTAAAATAATATTATACTTGTATACTTACTTGGAAATTTTGGTGACATTAGAGAAAGTAGTAAACATTATCCTAGTATTCATCAATCAAGTCTCAGAATTCTAAATAAAGAAACTGTATAAGGAAGCAGAAGTCATCCTAACACAAAACACTTACTAATAATACATAAAGCTAATCCCTTGTCAAGCAATGTTCTCCACTTAATACTAGTGTCTTTTTGATAAATTCTTGGGTCAATCTCATGCTGATCCCAAATAATCAAATTAATAGCAAAGAGAAACTGAAATCCTCACTGGATGCAGGAAGTTCGTAACTGTGTTGATGAAGAATCAAACTTAGAACATTGACATATGAAGATCTGGTGGAATTAGAACAGTTTGCAGTCAAAATGAGAAATTACCAGTATGATAAGGACAGGTACTTTTAAAGAGATTCTTTTGAGTACCAAAGAATTAAGGAAAGCCCTTGGGCTAGTCAATGAGACCTTTATATAACAGAGTACTTCTTGACAGTGTTTACCTGAAGTAAATAACAGCATATTGTGGATCAAATGTGACCTTGGTCAAGTTATTGAACCTTAGTGTTTTAGGAAATATCTTCTCACATTCTTTTGACCTATAAAATTCTGACTTTTATTTATTACCAGAATAAATTCCATCCACCTAGAAGTATAAATTTATGCAGAGATTTTTAATTTCTATAGAATATAAGACTCTCTGCAGGGATTCCTAGTGTCTAAAAGACATGAGAGTTTAATAAGATTATATATTGGAAAGCTAGGAATCCCTTATGTAGGTACCTGGTTTGGGACTAAATACTTCAAAATAATGGGGAACTTACTTTGCCAGAGTTAGCCATGTTGTGGTAGATAGTTTTATTTTTGTAAATGTCTTGAATAACAAATCTTAACTCAGAGATCTTCCACCATCAACACTGGTTGTTTCATCTGGAACAATAGGGACCAAATATATTTCTTCATTCATATAATAGCTGTTCCTAGGTTTCTCTTTTTCGGACCAAACATGAAATGAGTGAGAATTCTCAAGCCATAGTGAATATAAATATCCCTACTTTGTGTGGTACCAACATCCAGATACATCTCTTATTGATTCTTCCCCTCTGAATGTTCTAGCCTTTGTCTATTTTTCTCTTAGAATATGTTTCCAAGAACTAAACACACCAAGATAGGTGGATAGTATGACCAGTGTTATACATGACAAAGCAAAATAAGAAAACTTTTCTAAGTCTGTCAAAAAAGGCAAATGATATAAATTGAATGCAAAGGTAGCAGGTAGCTTAGGAACTAAATAACTCAATCCAAAAGGTGATGATTAATAATGTCTGCTGAAATACTGAGGATATCTGTATGACTTACCTGAAATAGCTAACCTTCACCATGTCCTGAACAATATACTTTCAAGACTTGACAGATATTGTGCAAATTATGCTCATCAAACTAGTTGATAACAGAAGGCAGGAAGAAAAATGAATTTGTTGGGAAGAAACACAGAAATTTTTAAAGGACCTTAAATATCTCAGAGTCATGAGCAAAAACTAAATGGCTAACTTTAGCACATATAAATGTAAGACTCTAAATTGGGTCAAAACAAAACAAGTATATCAGTACAGAAAGTAAAAATGTGCTTTAACATGTGAAAATCATGTCAAGGTTTTGGTCAGAAGATAGCTCACTTTGAGCAAGTCGTCCCTAACATTATTTAGTGGTTTAGATTGCATTAAAGAAATGTGGAATCCGGAACACCTGAGACATTAGAATGGGTTTTTTAAAACTTTTTTTTTATTTTAAAGATGTGGGATACAATTCAGGATTAGATATACAAGTTGTCATTGTACAGGTAAAGTTTGGCCCTCCCTTTGGTGTCCACTTTGCTTGGTTTGAGGTTAATGTTAAGTGTCTCCCCCCACCGCCCCCAGTAGTTTCCAGCTACAGCCAATTCCTTTCTTATAGTATTATGGTTACGTATTCAGGGTCCACTTATGAGTGAGAACATGTGGCACTCAGTTCTTTGTTTCTGAGATAAATCACTGAGTATTATAGACTCTAAATCTATCCAAGTTGCTGCGAAGTCCATAATTTTGCTCCTCTTTATGGTTGCGTAATAGTCCATTGGTCAGATTCTACCTTGGATGGTGAACTCTATCCTGAGTGACGCACTCAAAGAGAACATGACAAATGGCGTGGGGACCAGCAGCATTCAAATCAGGGAATTTGTTAGAAATGCAAGAATGTAAGTTCCTATCCCAGATCTCAGGATCAGAAGTTGTATTTTAATAATATCCCCTGATGTTCGCATACCTACTAAAATTGGAGAAACATTCTCCTAAGGGACAAACATTTTATCCTGAGAAAACTCCAGTAGCGATGATTATTATATTCAAATATCTGAAGTACGCTCATGTGGAAGAAAATTAGTAAGTCAAAGAAGAAGAAAAATTAGGAAGCCAACAGGCAGTGCTGCTCAAAGATGAAAGGTTTCCAGCATGAAGATTTTTCCAACTGCAGGAGGTTTCAAGTGTAGACAATCACCATTTGACAGTGTTTTGTTTTTGTTTTTAACAACTATTGCTAATTATTAAGCTCTACTATGCTACAAACATTTGGGAAGATGTTTAAAATTTGTTTTATGTAAGTCATACATTCACCCTACTTGATAAACCCTGCTGGGCAAACCAATTTTTTTGTTTTTTGTTTTTGTTTTGTTTTGTTTTTCTTAGGGGAATAAGAAAAGTTAAGAAACTTGCTTAAAGTTACAATGTTAGCAGATGATGCAGGTGAAAGCAAGCATATGTCTTCCTCATGCCGAATTCCATCTTTCAAGCATAGTATCAGTGAGGGGACTAAATAATTTTTTATGACTTTTCCTACTCTGAGATTGTTTGATATTATAGAGTTAACACTTAAGAAACCTCATCACAGGACTTGTTATTTGCAAGTTAATGATTAACAAAATTCCAAGATCTTTTTTTTAGGGATGACTTCCAGACCACACGTCACCACTTTGAATTTATACAGGTTGCTTTGGAATCTAAATTACTATTTTATATTTATCACCATTAAATTTTATCTTGTTGATTTGGGCCCAGATTAAGTGTTTACAGAGCTTATTTTTATTCTAGACTTAGCTCTCATGTGAGATACTTCTTTCAGGTTTGTCATCTATAAATGTACTAAACACAAGCTGTACTAAATAATATAAGGCTATTATTGTTTGAAAATTCTAGAGTGATTGTTTTCACTTGAGTAAACACAATTCAAGGTCTAAGTTGTACATTTCCAAGCCTAAAAAAACATGATCTACGTTAAGTTCATCTAGGCCTGATGAAGTTGAAGGAACAGTTTTGTACTACTAAAATTCACAATGGAGTGATTTATAAAGCAAAATTACAGGGCATGTATGCTATGTGACCAATCGTGTTCACAAATTAGTCTTTATTTAGCTTTACTCAGAGTATTCTTGCATATAAAAACGTTGTATGAAAAGATGTTTAAATAATAATAATACCAGTGCAATTAACAGCTGTCAAGTTGGACTTAAGCCCCACTGATATGTTTATATGGTCCTTCTATGACTAAAGCCACCTATTTAGTACCTACCTACCTATTAAGAAATAGGTTGAGAAACAAGTATCTACATGGAAGTAGCTTTTTGCTTACCCCTCATGGATGATGTTAGTTCAATTAGTTAGTTAAGGAACATCAATCTTGCTACTAATACATTTTGGTGGAATACATTATGTGCGAGACGGCGTCCTACGAAAAGAAGAACAGAGACCCGCAGGCAGCTATGTGATACAAGGCAAATAATTTAGCCCTTCTAGGCCTTATTTTTCTCAGGTATAAAACAAAGCCTTTACTCGATGACCTTTCATCATTACTAAATGATCTTTCTGCTCCCTGAAAGTGCCATCATCCACCGGTTGCTCCAGCTCATAAGCCAGAAGTCAAACACACTTGATCATGTCTCACAGGACTATGCAGTCACCTCCTGACAACCTTTACCACATGCATTCCTGACCTTCAACCTCTTATTCTCCAGAAAGAACCACCATGGTTTTTTATATCAATGAGACTACCCTACTCCCCAGAGTAAAATTATCCAGTGGATTCTTGTATCACTTCAATGAAATTTAAGCACATTATCACGACCTATAGAACTTTCCTCAACTCTATCATTCTTTCCCTCACATCCCAACTTCAACTCATCTTGCCCCTGGCCTTGGGACTTTTGCCTGAACACTGGTCTCCCTGATCTTCTCACACTAACTCCTCATCAACTCTGTGTTGATCAAATGTGTTGATCTCGAAAAAGCCCTATTGACTGTAAAAAGAAGAGCAGAGACAGACAGGCAGATATGTGATACAAGGCAAATAGTTTAACCCATCTAGGCCTTATTTTCCGAGGGTATAAAACAAAGGCTTTACTAGATGACCCTTTAGTACTCTATTCCCTTGCCCTGTTTCATTGTGTTGATAGTCCTTATCACCATTTAAAGTGGTTCATCTACTTGTTCATTTGTCTTGATCTTTTTCCCCTCTCTGGAATCTAAAATCTCTTTTTTTAAAAAACAATTTTTATTTTAAAGATGTGTAGTACAAGCCGGGCTCGGTGGCTCAGCCTGTAATCCCGCGCCTTTGGGAGGCTGAGGTGAGTGGATTGCCTGAGACCGCGGGTTCGAGACCCGCCTGGGCAGCAAGACCTCATCTCTACAATAAATCAAAAAATCAGCCAGGCATGGTAGTGCATGCCTGTAATTCCCGCTACTTGGAAGGCTGAGGCGGAAGGATTGCTGGAGCCCAGCAGGTCGAGGCTGCGGTGGCCAGGAGCGGCCACTGCACTCCAGTCTGGGTGACAGAGTGAGACTCCAACTCAAAAAAAAAAGATGTGTAGTACAATTCAGGAAAAGGTATACAAATGGACATCGTACAGGTAAAGTCTGGGCCTCCCTTTGGTCCCCACTTTGCCTGATTTGAGATCAGGTACCCTTCTTGATATTGTGTCCCCCCCACCCTAGCAGTATCCTGCTACTGCCAATTCCTTTCTTATAGTATTATGGTAAATGTTCAGGGTCTGCTTATGAGTGAGAACATATGGTTCCCTGTTCTTTGTTTCTATGCTAGCTCACTGAGTATTATGGACTCTAAATTCATCCAAGTTGCTGGTAAAGTCCATATATTTGTCCTTCTTTATGACTGTGTAATATTCCATCATGTATATGCACCACATTATTTTTTATCCAGGCCAGTTTCAATGGGAAGCACAGTTGGTTCCATGTTTTTGCTATTGTGAATAGTGCTGCAATAAACATGTGGGTGCAGGTATCTTTTTTATAGAATGATTTGAAACCCTCTGGTTATATTTCCATTAGGGGGATTGCTGAGTAATGTGGAAAGGTAATTTCTAGTTCTTTGAGGAATCTCCACATTGTTTTCCATAGTGGTTGAACTAGTTTGCATTCCCACCAGCAGTGTAGAAACATTTCCTTTTCTCCGCACCCTTGTCAGCATCTGCTGATTTTTTTTTTATTATTGATGGTCATTCTTACTGGAGTTAGGTGGTATCGTACTGTGGTTTTGATTTGCATTTCTCTGATGATTAGTGAGACTGAGCACTTCCCATGTATCCATTGGCTGCTCATATGATCTTCTTTTAAGAAGTGTCTATTCATGTCTTTTGCCCACTTTTCAATGAGGCTGCTTATTTTTTTCTTTTCAGCACATTTGAGTTCCTTGTAGATCCTGGATGTTAGGCCTTTGTCAGATATACAGTTGGCAAACGTTTTTGTAATCTAAAACTTTTATAAGCAAGAATGTGTCTTGTTTACCACTTTATCTCCAGTTTGTCAGAGAAGGTTCAGCACACACATGTTCAGAAAATAATTGCTGAAGGGATAAAGCATGATATTTTATGTTCCTTGCAGTTCTAAATTCAGTAGTTTTGTATTGCATTTCTGCTTTGATATGCTCTCTGTGAATATTTTATCTTTCAAGATATTAGCAACAGATTATATTTAAAAGGTCAAATTGCAGATAAGTATTCTCCAGATAGTTTTTTTTTATTAGCTTAAATGCAATTCATGTAGCTCATATATTTTGTGCAGCTTATGTATTCTGTTCATTTCTAACCTTTTCCAGTAATGCAAATTCACATCAATGGACTGTTAGTTTTGGAACAACAATCAACCCTCCCTTAATGAAAAGAAGTGTGAAAAGAATTATTGTCCATGAGAAATACCGCTCCCCAGCAAGAGAGTATGACATTGCTGTCGTGCAGTTCTCTCCCAGAGTCACCTTCTCAGATGACATACGCCGGATCTGTTTGCCAGAAGCCTCTGCATCCTTCCGACCAAATTCGACTGTCTATATCACAGGATTTGGAGCACTGTACTATGGTGGTGGGTATCTTGGAAGCTTTTACAGAACACTAAGCCCGATTTAGGGCAGGGTGATTTAATCTCTGTCAATATCCTGCCAGCCACTTCCACACTGCTTTGGATTAGTGAGAGCTCCTCCTTAGCAAATGACAGGAATTCTACTCAAATAAACTAAAGTCGAAACAAAAGCAAACAACACTAAACCAGCAAATCTGACTCTTGTAATTTGGGAGTCAAGAGATGGAATAAGTCTGGCTTCAAACACAGCTGGATTAAGTGCATATGATTTCATCTAGCTTCGAGTCTCTCTCTCTTTTTCCCCCCAAAAGCAAAGTTTTTTTATTTTAAAAAATTTTATAAAATAGTGATCTTATTTTAAAGATTTTCACATACTTATTAAAAAATAAACTAAAACTCCTTACAAAAACTGCTTTTCTTTTTTTAAAATTTATTTTATTTTAAAGCTGTGAGTTACAATTCAGGATTATGTATACAAGTGGTCATCATACAGGTAAAGTTTGGGCTTCCCTTTGGTCCCCACTTTGCCTGGTTTGAGATCAGGTACCCCTATTGATATTGTGCCCCATCCCACCCCAGTAGTATTTCACTACTCCCAATCCCTTTCTTTTAGTATTATGGTAAATGTTCAGGGTCTGCTTATAGAATGAGAACATATGGAACTCTGTTCTTTGTTTCTGTGATAAATCAATGAGTATGATAGACTCTAAATCCATCCAAGTTGCTGTTAAGTCCATATGTTTGTCCTTCTTTATGACTGTGTAATATTCCATTGTGTATACGTACCACATTATTTTTTTGTTCAGTCCAGTTTCAGTGGGTAGCACGGTTGGTTTCATGCTTTTGGTATTGTGAATAGTGCTGCAGTAAACATGTGTGTGCAGGTATTTGTTTTGTAAAGTGATTTAAGTTCCTCCAGGTATAGTCCCAGAAGGGAGATTGCTGGGTCATATGGAAGATCAAAGTCTAGTTCTTTCAGAAATCGCCACAATGTTTCCATGGAGGTTGCACCAGTTTGCATTCCCACCAGCAGTGTAGAAGCATCCCCTTTTCTCTGCATCATAGCCAGCATCTATTGTTGTTTGTTTTATTGATGATGGCCATCCTGTTGGGGTTAGGTGGTATCTCAGTGTGGTTTTGATTTGAATTTCTCTGATGGTTCGTGAGGTTGAGCACTTTTTCATGCGTCTGCTGTCTCTTCATTTTCTGGCCTTGCTTCTCCCTAGGTTGGCTTCCTTAAGAGAGATTCTAGTGCCACCTCGTGGCCAAGTTGGCAAAAAACTCAAGGTTTACCTCCTCCTTGCCCAAGGTTTACCTCCTCCTTGCCCAGTAAACACAGAGGAAGGAACTTTCCTTTTGCTTTGCTAGCATCCACATTAACTTCAGAAAAGGCCTCTCATCACTCCAGCTTGTGTCCCAGGGTACTCAGTTTGACCGACTCAAATACTCTTACGCCTATGCAGCAAAATTTGCTTCATTCTTAAAAAGCTAATTTAAACATGATGGTGAATAAGAACAATGTAGAGATGAATTGTCAAAATGTTTTGCCCTCTTTAAAATGATAACTTGACATACTAACATAATCTCCTAGGAAATAATAATTATTTAGTTACTGAGTGTTTAGGCATTCTCAATGAGGCATGCCCTCTGGATTCTTTCACGTGGTTCAGACACATATATGGAATGGCACCTGGAGAATGTATTTATTATTATTATTAGAAAATGTATTTAATGCTAAGCTAGAGAAGATGAAAAAGGGCTTCCTGAGAATGACAACATCTATTCACAGAATCCCATATGGTTTATTCATATACAAGAAACTATAAAGAATAAACCTTTGATTCACAGTCTCCACTAATGAAGTAGAAATAACCTTTCACTCACTTAGGCAAGAATAGGCTTTAGCCTCTCCAGATTGTTTTCCAGATGTTTCATGTGGTTTTTCTCTGTCTTACACAGGCTGAGATATGCATTACTTCCTTTAAGGTCATATGACAATCACAGAGCTGCAAGTCTGACACCTTTCTCTGCACTCTCTCTGATGAATTTTCCTTTAAGATAGGGTTTTGAGTCTCTGCTTCAGAATGATGGGAGGCACACTACAGATCCCCTCTGGCTTGGTGGGGAGTTTCTTCCAGGAGTTTGAGACTGGCACAGAAATGTATCTGTCATAATACTTTGTGAGTAGCAATGGAATCTGGCACTTAGAGAGCACGCTACCTAACAGCAGTCCATGCACCCATTACAAGCACCCTTGGCTCACTTGCCAAGACAAGTTGTGTTCAAGTCCATGAAACAAACCTTGGTAACAAGTGTTTTAAAACTGAAGTCTTACAAAGTATATTCTCTGATCATAAGGGAATCAAACTAGAAATCAGTAACAGAAGAATCTCCAAATGCTTGGAAATTAAACAGCATCCATGTAAATAAAAAAGAAAGTCTCAAAGAAAAATTTAAAACTACATGGAACTCAATGAATACAAAAAAATATAGAAATATATGCAAGATACAGCTAAAATCACATAAATAGGGAAATTTATAGCAAATGTGTACCTTGGAAAACATCTCAAATCACTGATCTAAGTTCTCATCTCAAGAAACTAGAAAATAAGAGGAAAAATAAACCTAAAATATGCAGAAGGAAGGTAACAATAAAGATACGAGTAGAAATGAGTGAAATTGAAAACAAAGAAACAATGGATAAAGTTAGCAAATAAAAAGTCCTTTCTTTGATACAATCAATACTTTGTGAGAAATGTCATTAAGTCTTCCTACAATAGATGAGCTGTAGTTCACAGATGTCCAGAATTTATGTTCTATGCTTTTCATGACTTGGAAGGCATTTTACCAACTAGTGTGCCGAAAAAGTTATGAATTTGCGCTATACCTACAACTTATAGATTGTCAGTTTGCTGAGCGCGGTGGCTCATACCTGTAATCCCAGCACTTTGGGAGACAGAGGAAAGAGGATTACCTGAGCTCAGGGGGCTGAGACCAGCCTGGGCAACATGGTAATAAAAAATAAAAAAGAGTGAATTAGCAGGGCATGGCGGCGCGTGCCTGTAGTTAGAGTTACTTGGAAGGCTGAGGTAGAAGGATCAGCAGGTCAAGCATGCCACTACACTTCAGCCTGGGCAACAGAGTGAGATTCTGACTCCAAAAGAAGGAAAAAAAAGATTGTCAGTTTTACCTTACCCTTCTTAATGCCGAAAATGAATTTTTTAAAAAATTAATCATCTAGTAGGAAAAAATTCACCCATTGGATAATCTCTCTATTAATCCAAATAATGGAATAACTTTAAAAATCCTCTGGCATATTTCTGAATTACACCCTTAAATCTTCTGAGCACTTCTAAAAATGTGTTTGCAAACATTTCTCCAGAAATAAATCTTGAAATGATCTTCTAAAGAAATTAGAATTTTTTTTCAAATTTACTTATTTTTTCAAAAATGATACAGCCAGGCACAGTGGCTCAAACTTGTAATCCCGGCACTTTGAGAGGCTGAGGCGAGAGGATTACCTGAGCTCAGGAGTTTGAGCCCAGCCTTGGCAACATGGCGAGACCTTGTCTCTACAATAAATCCAAAAAAAAAAAAAAGTGAATTAGCTGGGCATGGTGGCATGTGCCTGTAGTTAGAGTTACTTGGAAGGCTGAGGCAGAAGGATTGCCTAAGCCCAGCTGGTCGAGGCATTCCAGTCTGGGAGAAAGTGTGAGACACCAACTCAAAAAAAAAAGACATAAAATTGTATGCAACATGATGTTTTAAAGTGTATACAAATTGTGGAATGTTAAATCTAGATAATTAACAAATGCATTGCCTCACCTAGTTATCATATTTGTGATGCGAACACAACCGTTCTCAAGAATACACTATATTGTAATGAACATTTGTATACCTAACCCTGAATTGTACTGCACATCTTTATTTTTTAAAAAAATTTTTTTTATAAAAGAATACATTATACCATCAATGGTGGTACTGAAGGCTGCACTGGCAGAGGGGGGCAGGGATTGGAGAGATGTTAGTCAATAAACTCATACTTATAGTTAGATAGGAAGAATAAGTCCAAGAGATCTATGGTACAGCATGGTGACTATAGTTAATGATGATTTATTGTATTTTTATCTTAGTTTTCTATTATTGTGTGACAAATTGCCACAAACTTAGCTTAAAATGGCACTCATTTATTATTATCTCACAGTCATGGGTCAGAACTTCAGACAGTTTAGCTGGGTCCTCTTCTCTGCATCTCACAAAACTGACACCTTGACAGGTGACAGCCGGGCTTGTGGTACCATAGGCACACATTGTGTGCCTTGCGGGTTTCCTCACAGGTTGTTGACAGAATTCCATTTCTGGCAGCTGTAGGGCTTGTGATAGCTTGCTGCTTTAATGCCCTTAGGAAAGCCCTCAGGGAAGGCTGAAGTCCTTTTTGAAGGGGCTCACCTGATTAGGACAGGCCCACCTTGGGTAATCTCTCTATTAACTAATTCAAAGTCAAACTGATTAGGAATCTTAATGACATCTGCAAAGCTCCCTCACCCTTGTCATAAAACATGACTTAATCTTGAGAATGACATCCATGGAATTCACAGATTCCACCCATCTTAGAGGAAGGAGAGCCACACAGGAATCTTGGGTGCCGTCCTAGAATTCTGCCTATCATGATGTCATAGTTTCCTGACCAGTGTGATTTGCTATAAAGAAACCCTGGATGCCTACACTATTCACAGTTTTCTACCTACCCCACCTGCCACAGTCTTGGTTTTTATAACTTGGGAGTTTACAATCTGGAGCCACCAACTTGTAATACATACGTGAAATCGTTGCCATTTAATGCCACTGTGTATGTGAAAGCTCTTCATAAATTCTAAAGAAAAAAATAAATGTGCATGGTATTATAGTCATTTTATCAAGCTGACAGAGAAAACTATTTAGGGAGACAAAGTTTCCAGGAGCAATCTGAATAATCCACAAATACAAAGTTTATAAAAAATGAAAGACCTTCATAAATAAATATCCAAACTGATTGTTTTTAAAATAACTGTAAAAAGATTTTCCAGAAAAATATGTCAGATGATTTTCTTGCTTGTAGAGATATTTATAAAAATGTGATAGGACAATAATGGTCATTAAGTGTACCAGATTTTAACCAAAAATTATCTAGAAACTGCTTATATTAACCTCACTCTACATTGACTATTTTAGTATGAAAAAGATTAGAAAAAGTCTGCTCACTTCACTCTAAGGATGCTGATTGTAAATACTAAAATCACTTTGTTTTTCCTTAAGGGAAATCCCAAAACTGTCTCCGAGAAGCCAGACTGAAAATCATCAGTAACGACGTGTGCAAACAACCACAGGTGTATGGCAAAGACATAAAATTTGGAATGTTTTGTGCTGGATATCTGGAAGGAATTTATGATGCCTGCAGGGTAGGTTGAAGAGATTATTTTGATATAACTAACTCAAAACTTTTTATCTGGCCCAGGAAATAGTCTATGTGGTTTAAATTGATAGAAAATGTAGCTATTATGTCAGTTCAGAGAAGTTCTAAATGCAAATTTCACAGTACACAAATATTTTTAAATATGTCTTATTAAGCAAAATGAAATAAGCATTTCTCTGATGTTATCAAATAAACAAACTAACCAACAAAATTAAACTTTCTTAATAATCAGAAGTCCAAGAGTTAATAAAACAAAGTTTCTTTTCTCCAAGGACTCACTTTCTGGAAAGGAAATAATCCTAAACCATGAAGTGTGTTGTGATGTTATGAATGATACAATGGATGGCAAGTGTTTTTTCCTTGAAGGGAAAATTTTTGGAACAAGTATCAGATGAGATTTCAATAAGGCCTGAAGAAGACATAACTCTGACTCAATTTCAGAATAAGAAAAGAATATTATAGAAAAAGAAAAAGAGCTTAGTGATAATTAGAAAGGTGTGAAATGACAGTTCATATTTGAGGGGATCTCAAGTAATCTGTCATGTCTTCTCATAAGGACCATGAGAGGTGAGAAAACAAGTTGACAAAGAGAAGGTGGATGAGGTCATGTTGTGAGTCTCTGGCATGTATATTTTCCAGCAAAGAAATGAGTGCTTCTCCTTAGAGGCACTTGCTTTTTAACCTGAGATACTTAAAAACTCCAAGGAGGCAACTCTGTATGGTGAAATGATGGAATGATATTGATGCCAAGTGGCAGAAAACTCTGCCCAGAGTCCACGTATTGCACAACATGGGCACCTCTATCAGAAAAGGAGCAAGGAGTTTTGCAACATTGAGGTCCACAGCCGGCCTCCATTGCCAAGAATACAAAGGGAGGCAGCCACATCCAGGGGCTCCAGAGAGAGATCCATGCCATGGAAAACAAGTGGAAGGTGGCAGTGGGAGTCTTGGAGCATTGAGGAGAGGGGATCCAGGCAAACAGGGATATGCTTCAGAAGGGACTGGGTGGGGGGGAGTCACTGGATTGGAGAGCTGCGGTAAGATTGCTGCCTGACTGTGCAAGCGAGTAACGAGCTCCAGTAATCAAAAAACTGGAGAAATTATCAGGGAAGCGATTCAGGCACAAGGATCCAAAACAGGAACGCAGTGGTTGTCACGGGGTACACGGTGAGGGGCTCCGTCTGTCCCATAAAATAGGAGTCCCATAAAGCATCAGCTTGTTTTCTCAAACTTATCAAATGATGATCTAGAACACAATAAATCCTCTCCCCTATATACAAGATGGGTCCCAAAGCCTTTGGGAGGAAAGGAGAAGTTGGGAGGGAGAGTGAAAGGGAGTGAGAGTGTGCTGTGGCCTGTGTGGCTGCCTTGAGGGTCCCAAGAGAGAATGGGAGAGATTAAGAACCACAGACACAAAGACACAAAGAAAAACTGGGGCCAGGTGGGATGCTTTCCTCTAATGGAGGACAAGTGGCCCCAAACTAGCTCAGCATGTTTATTTTATGATCAAGTACAAAGGGAGTTGGAAGGGATTCAAGGTCTGTGTGGGAACTAAAGAGGAATTTTGTTGCTACCTAAAGGTGACCTGTTACATGGTCATCTTGTTGTAGCTAAGGCTTTATCTGTTCTATGTACACCTGGATGTGTGGGCATAGGAGACACCATTTAGTGTAGCAGGCTGTATCCCCTGCCTTTGGCTAAAATGCAGAGCTACCGAGTGAGACCTTGACTATGACCTTAGGGCCATGAAGCGAGACCTTGCCTTTGCTTGGGGCCTTTACTCAAGGCCTGCTACAGTGACAGTGCTCATCTGTTCCCCACATCACATCCGTTCCCAGCAAGAGAGACCCTATTTTTTCTATGAGGGGTCTAGCCAGGCAAGACCCAAACACAAATGACAAAAGGACCAGAATTACTGGTATGAAAGCCAGAAATGAAAGGCTGTGACAACTCGATCCAGATTTGTGATTCCATTGTTGTTTCTAGTTCAGTCAAGAGTTTACAAATAGAAAGATCCCTAGTTGTTACTACCATACCAGCAGCTGCCACCCCTGCTCTCCCACAATGGCATTTGAAATCATGCCAGAAAATGGTAGGTGAGGGTTGGCAACGTTCTTCTGGAGGACCTTATAATTTAAATTCAGGTCGTTGGGAACTTGTTGTATAGGAAAATTAGTCCAGAATTGTCCCTGGTCATTGTTCCATTCATTCTACGTCTCTTCACATGTTTATTTTAAGAAGTAAATGAATGAAAGAAATGTTTGAGTAGTTTCCTATAAGCCACACACCTTGCAGGTACTAGAGACACACACTGTCTGGTGGACCAGATGTGCATGAATAGAAAAATTATACCCGTGAGAGAAAGACCACTGAATAAAGAAAGCTTGGAAGGACAAGGTCATGGTTTTATGAGTACGTATGAGAAATGAACGTGACTAGCAGGGGTGGAGCTTAGGGGTCAACAGAGTTGAGCGAGTATAGTGAAGCGTGGGAGTTAACTGAGAAGATGGCAAGTGATGATGGGGACAGGAGAACTCTAGGAACTGAAAGACTTCCTGTGATGGAACACAGGATACAGGACGCATGAGACCCAAAGGTACAGGATGAGGCAGGAGGGCTGGTTTGAAGGCAGACTGTGCAGGGCCTTGTAAGCCACCTTAAGTATTTTGCTTTTCCCGCTGAGGGCAATGGAAAGTCACTAAAAAGTTTTAATCAAGATTTATATTAAATTGGCTCATGGGTGTAAAGCTCCCAAAACACTGCCTGACTCTTCCCAAGTACTGTGTAAGTGTATATTCAATTGAGAGTGTGGTGCAATCACATTTGAATAGTGTGAAAATCATTCTGGTCACAGTAAGGAAAAAATTTGGCGAAAGGCCACAGTGGATCAGTCAGTATGCACTGCAAAAATCTAGGTGAAATGTGGCAATCTGGACTAAGAAGCTGGCATAGAGACTAAGATGGAGTATTTAGAGGTCAACTTGGCAGATGAAGTGGTGAATTTTGTAGGGTTGGGGAGGGGGTGGAAGGCAAAACATGGTATCTAAATTTCTGGCACAAAAATAAAATAATTGTCTGTTTTGAGCAACTGTAGGGAGTTGCATTAGGGAGACAGATCAAATGTAAGCTAGGGAGAGAGCAGGGGTGCGGTGTCAGCCACAGGAAGTTTGAGGTGCTTTGTGGGCAGCATGTAAGGACCATGCTGGACCTCTACCCACACCACTCCCCCACCCAGAATGCCATCTGTCATCCTGCCTACTTGCAGTCCAAGTTTTGGCTTAATTTCTTTTGTGTGAAAGCTTCTAAGCCTGTCCCTGCTATATCTCCTGCCTCTGTCCTCTAGTATTCTTTTTTATTTTTTTGAGTCAGTCTCACTCTGTTGCCCAGGCTGGAGGGCAGTGGCACGCTCATGGCCACCTGCTGCCTCGACCTGCTGGGTTCAGGCGATCCTTCCGCCTCAGCCTTCCAAGTAGCTAGAACTACAGGCATGCGCCATCACACCTGGCTAATTTTTTTATTTATTGTAGAGATGAGGTCTCGCCAAGTTGTCCAGGCTGATCTCGAACTCATGGGCTCAGGCAATTCTCTCACCTCGACCTTCCAAAGTGCTGGGATTATAGGTGTGAGCCAACATGTCCGGTCTCTCTTGTGTTATTAGCTGAGAGGCCTTCGCTTGGCCTTCGACAGGGCTACTTCCTGTCTCTTCAGATAGAAAGTAAGGACCTCAGAGGCTTTTTGCTCACTGGATTTTTCTTGGGTAATTGATTATTTAATGAAGAGAAAATGGGAATAAGTGGAAAGAAAGAGAGATGGAAAAAAGCAATAGTCTTTGAGCTGCCATCTGTCTAAACTCATAATTGAAAAGTATCCAGCAGCTGGCCTGCAACAGAATGAATGGGGGCACTTGTTGAAAATACAGGTCCTGGCCAGGCGCGGTGCCTCACATCTGTAATCCCAGCATTTTGGGAAGTGGAGATAAGAGGATTGCCCGAGCCCAGGGGGTCGAGACCAGCCTGGGCAACTTGGCAAGACCTCCTCTCTACAATAAATCGAAAAATTAGCCAGGTATGGTGGCACACACCTGTAGTTCCAGCTACTTGGAAGGTTGAGTCAGAAGGTTCTCCTGAGCCCAGCAGGTGGAGGCTGTGGTGGCTGTGAGCGTGACACTGTGCTCCAGCCTGGGTCACAAAGTGAGACTCTGACTCAAAAAAAAAGAAAGAAAGAAAATGCAGATCTTGGAACCCACCCTGGGCCTGCAGTATCTTTAGAGGTGAGCATTAGAGAACTGCTTGTAAGAAACTTCCTGTGTGATTTTCATTCTCAGTGAAGTTTGAGAAACACTGAGAGACCTTGCCTATGAGCTTAGGGCCATGATGTCAGTGAAAAATCCCAAGATGCACATGGGACTGTAACCACCTTTTCTCGTCTGCAGATCACCCAATGCATTTTTTTAATGCTCTGTATGGGATTTTGAATAATTCTACCTCCCTTTCCTTATCTTTCATATTGTATAGAATGTTGCTTGTTAGATGTAATACATACAACATACATATTATTTCAGTTAATGTTTATTTGGAGGGGATTTTTTTTTTTTTGAGTTGGGATCTCATTCTGTCACTTAGGCTAGAGTGGAGTGGCACAATCACATCTCATCACAGCCTGTACTCAGATAATCCTTCTACCTCAGTCTCCTGAGTAACTAGGACTACAGGTGCATAGCACCATGCCCAGCTAATTTTTTTGTTTTGGTTATTTTGGGGGCTTGTTTGTTTGTTTGTAGAGATGAGGTCTAACTATGCTGTCTAGACTTGTCTTGAACTCCTAGACTTAAGGAATCCTCTCACCTTGGCCTCCCAAAGTGCTGGAATTATAGGTGTGAGCCACCATGCCCATCCTTAAGGATTTTTCAAACCCTCTAGTTTCTAACTGAAGAAAGTGGAGATATTATAATCCTGGTTTTTTTAAAGATGATCTAACTGGCAGCATGTCTGCTGAAAAACTCTATTAAACAGCACTCTGAGGGGGGAAAGATGACCATTCAGGAATGTCAAGAAACCATGCTGCTGTTAGAAGACACTTTTAAAAACATCAGTTTCCATAGCATAAACCAGGTCCAGAATGGTCTCAAAAAATGTTCAGGTACAGTGCAGTAATCATGGGTGTTCATGCTGAAAGCTCAAAGGAACATTGGAATTGGTAAAGAAAGATTGAATTATGTTTGGCATTGCATAGCTCTCAGGTGACTCTTAGTGTGTTCTCATTTTGATACTGGACAAAGAGTCAGAATTCTTGTCTTCTTTTCTCTATTACACCATCACCTTAGTTATAATTTTTTTTTTTTGAGTTGGAGTCTCACTCTGTCACCCAGACTGGAGTGCAGTGGCTGCTCCCGGTCACCGCAGCATCGACCTGCTGGGCTCCGGCGATTCTTCCGCCTCAGCCTTCCGAGTAGCCGAAGTTACAGGCACGCGCTACCATGCCCGGCTGACTTTTTGATTTATTGTAGAGATGGGGTCTCGCCTGCCCAGGCGGGTCTCGAACCCACGGGCTCAGGCAATCCACTCACCTCAGCCTCCCAAAGGCGCGGGATTACAGGCTGAGCCACCGAGTCCGGCTATGATTTTTTTTATTAATCAGATGTTCTAGGTTTCTTCTTTACCCGTCTTTAACATGTGTAGATTGAAACATCTGACTTTGCATGGAAATTTTACGTTCAGACTCATCCCTGCTCTTCCCCAAAGCTCATCAAAATTACCATAAAAGATGATAAAAGTATAACACTCATTTTTTTTTAACAATTGTAGAGTACAAGTAGGGATTTACTACATAAGTAGGTTGCATGCAGGTGGAGTTTGAACCTCTTGCTGGCCCTCCTTTTCCCTAAGTGGACCAGGTGTCCAGTGTGATGCCACGTGCTCCCTCCCTCCTCTCCCCTTTCCTCTCCTAGCAGCGTCCAGTATCTGTGGATCCCACCCTTGTGCTAGTGTCATCAGTGATCAGGAGTCACTTATGACATAGCACTCATTTTTTTAAAAGGTTTGGTATCATCTACAAAACATGCTTTTCCACATAACTACAAATTGCACTTAATGGTTTTTTTTAAGGTATTAATCAATAAGAACAAAAAGAGAGAAAGATGAAAAAATATTCCAATGTAATTTTTTTTAGAAAGCAGGACTTGTTGAGAGGGCAGGAAAGCTCGCACAGTGGAAGGGGATGCAAAGGGGTTGCCTCCAACACAATTTTTAAAGACAAAGAAAAGGTGGAGGAGTTTTAATTGACTTAGCAGAGGAAGGGTTGAAACATAAATGTCTTAGATAAAGAGGGTTTGTGGATTGCTAATTTTAAGTAAAGACTGACATTTTGAAAAATAAGGTAATCTGACATTTGAGGTCAGACATGAACTAGAAAATGGGTAGGGGGTGGTTAAAGACGTCTCAAAGAGCACCTCCCCGCTCTCCACCAATCCTCTCTATACTAAGGAACTTGGTGACCACTGCCTTTGCTTTCCCCAGCTTCACCCCCTCCCTCCAAAACATATAAACTTCACAGACAGGAAGTGTGTTCTCTATAGCGGGCCCTTTGGGTTCGCTGACACCAGACATAGTAGAAAGCATAGGGATATATGTGAAAGCAGTCCTCGACATGTTCTCATGTTTTGCCCAAAATGCTGCTATCAGGTGTATACTACTCCTCCAACTTTTTCACAGTGCAAGAGATTGCAGGATTCTTCTCTAGAAAAACCCAGAATCTAGAGAAAAAAAAAATCTCCATATACTGATATTTGAAAAGCTCTTACCAGAACAAAGAACACTAGCCAAGAAGCCCTCCTACCTCTGAGTCTTAGTCCGTTTTGTGCTGCTGTAATAGAATGCCTGAACCTGGGTAATGCGTGAAGAACAGAGATTTATTTCTTACAGTTCTGGAGGCTAGACAGTTTGAGGTCAAGGACCCTGATCTTCACCATCCCATGGAGAAAGGTAGAAGGACAAAGAGAGTACACAAGGGGGATGCAGGGATGTGGGAAGCCAAACTCCTCCTTTCATCAGGAACCCACTCCTGTGATAACTAATCCACTCCCACAACAATGTGATTAGTTCATTCATAAGAGCAGAACCCTCATGACCTAATTACTTTTTAAAGGTCCCACCTCTCAACACATATTGGGGATTCATTTACCAACACATTAACTTTGGGGGAACCATTCAAACCATGGCAGCATCCAACACACAAGCACAGAGCTTTCAATCTGGTTTCTAGCACCTTCCTCTAGACCCAAAGATCAAGAATCGGCTCTGGGAATGTAGCAATAATATCATCATAATTTTTAAAATCCAGTGGAAGGATTGGAAGATAAAATCAAGGAAATCTCTGCAAAAGAGCAAAATGACAAAGAGAAGGAAAATAACAAGAGAAGTTAAGAAAAGTAGAGGATCAAATGAATAGGAACTCTGAAACCAGAAAACATTATGTCATAAATAATAAAGACGTTCTGAAGCCTATGTGCCTTCTATTGAAAAAAGACCCAACTAGTGTTGGAAATAATAAATAAAGAGGTTCTTCTTCCCAAAGCACACCGTTGTGCAGTGTCAGAACCACAGAGATAAGGAGAACAAACTTAATGCTTGAAGGAAGAAGCATTCTATACACATAGAACTTTTCTACAGAAACACCAGAAAATAGAAGACAGTGGAAAATATATTCAAATTTCAAAAGGGAACATTATTTCAACCTAGATTGCTGCACATGCAAACTAATTTTCCAGTGTGAGAGTAGAATTAAGAAATTTAGACAAGCAGTGAGTGACTACATATATATATATATATATATATATATATATATGCCTCCAATACTCTCCTCCTTAGGAGATGATCTGAGAGGGCACCTCAACAAAAGGAAGGAGTATTTCAGGAAAGTGGAAGACACGAGACTCAAAACACTGTGAATCAACCCAAAAAAGTGGTGGCATTTAGTCTCAGGACCATAGCTCTGCACCAGGCTTAAAATCACCAGTCCAAGTTAGAGTAGAAGAAAGGAAAGATGTAAAGGGGTGTGTGTGTGTGTGTGTGTGTGTGTGTGTGTGTGAACGTCTTCAGAGGGAGTAAAGAAACTAACAAGTTATCTGACGCCCTTGAACATTAGTAACAATTATTGTTAGATCTTGGTAAATCTTTTGGAGCATTCAACATTTGCCACAGATATATAGCAAACTAGACAAATTTTAAAAAGAGGATGTTACTAATTCTAGGAAGCAAAATCTGCCAAAGAAAGGTAACGTAATCAAGATATGTGACTTGACTCATTGGTAAATAGCATTGGCTGTTAGAGTAACCAAAAATAAAGATGCTATAATATAAAGACGTGATGAGGGAAAATTGCAAAGAGTTTGTAATAGAGCTAAATTCCTACCTACATAACAGATCATCAATATATACAGCAATTAAAAGAATTACTTAGTGATAAAGAGTTAGATACTATAAGAAACCATTGGCCAGGCACAGTGTCTTATACACCTATAATCCCAGCACTTTAGAGGATGGCTTGAGATCAGGAGTTGGTGACTAGCCTGGGCAGCACAGTGAGACTCTGTCCCTAAAAAAAAAAAAAGAAAGAAAGAAAGAAAAAAAAAAAAAGAAATTATTAAACAAGTAGTTATCTCTGGGGAACTGACTAGACAAGGAAAAGTGGAACATGTGATTGCTTTTTAAGTTTTTAAGTCTGTTTATATTCTTTTCCTTTTTTTAACTAAGAGCTTTTACTCTAACAAAAATAAAATTTAATTTGAAATTCATGTTCAATTAATTATTGTATTTGGTTATCTATACATATACTACTGTCTAGTAATAAATATGCAGTTCATCAAAATGTCTTTTAAAATAAGCTTTAAGTTTTGTTAATTATCTTTCTCTTTTCTTTCATTTTTTATCTTCAGGGTGATTCTGGGGGACCTTTAGTTGCGAAGGACCAAAAAGATACTTGGTATCTCATGGGAATTGTGAGCTGGGGAGATAACTGTGGTCAAAAGAACAAACCTGGAGTCTACACACAAGTGACTTATTACCGAAACTGGATTGCTTCAAAAACAGGCCTCTAATTCATTGTAAAAGTTAAACAGAGAGTTGTATGCAGGTCATACACACACAATGATCCAAATATTCAGTGGTATAGTACAATGAAGTAAGATTAAATGACTGGACCTGGCAACATGAGACACATGACATGATTGATTTTAGAATCACTTTAATCAACTAATAATCTTAAACAATTTTTAAGGAACCTTTATTTGTAAAGTTTAATCTGCCTTGAAACATATAACAGAGATATTTAGCTCTTTAAATCATGAATGTTGGATTGTAAATGCGACTCAATACAAATTTTTGAAGATAGTCCTTGAGATTTTGAGTGTCCTTGTCAGGGATGTTTTCTTAAGTGAGAACATTTTTTAACTTTCAAAGAGTTTGGGAAACCTTTATATAATTTCCTTTCATTACTCCAAAGCTCAAAAACATTTTTCTTTTATAAAAAAAAACTCATCCAGGTTTTTAAAAGAGATTTTCCACCATAGGAAATAAACTTGCTACTTCTAAAACCCATTTGAGGGACATTCATAAAATAAAGTCATATGTAGAAGATAATGCCTGGGAGTAAATCCGGCTAGAAATTTTCTAACCTGTTTTTAGTTGTAAAATTTCTCTAATTTTTTTGGTGATTTTTTCACACACACACACACACACACACACACACACCATACAGAAGTTTCTACCTTACAGACATATCCGAGAAATTTTGAGTAATGAATGATATAGATAGTAAATAGTTAATCAAAAAATGTACTTTTGTTGTGAAAATTTGGGGGAAGGTGATGGTAACTTAATAAATTGCCCCAAAACACAGGCACAAGAATTTGGCATTTCATCAATGCACTTATATATTTTGATCACCGGGGAGAGATTTTGTACATTATGATTGTAAGGTTAAATTCTATTGTAAAAGCAAAATATTATTATTTCAATGTTAAATATTATTGTAAAGGTAAACTAATATCTTGAAGTATCAAATAACATTGTCTTCATAGAAAGAAAAATTCTATTCCCTTGTATTGCTACAGCTAATTATCCCCTAATCCCTGTGGCGTGGCCTATCACAACCATGAAATCCTAGTTTTAAAAAGAAATTTAGAAATAAATATAAATTTTGAACACCTACCACATAGAACACATTTTTAAAAATGGTCTGAGAGAAAAAACACACTTTCTAAGTAAAATGTCTCATGAAGTCTTTAGAAGACCGAGGCTTACGTATTTTGTAATACAATTACATGAAGCCTTGGTGGAAGGGATTACTCTGGCAATGTCCATGAAGTATTAAGGTTTGCAGGCTGGAAAGACATTTACTCATGCAGTCCAAATATAAGACAAACCATTAGAACAATAGACCAACTTCACAGCAATTTTCTCCATGTGCTACTGGGAAGGCATGGAAATAATACAGAAATAATCTAAAAGAGATTTGCAATTCATTTACAAAAATCTCAAGTCATCATTTACCATCACAGAATCTTAAAGTTTAGAAGAAATTGCATATCATATTGGCCAACACCCTTATGTTATGGTTAAGAGAACTGAAGCCAAAAAACATAAATGACTTGATTTAGCTAGAGATAATTTACATCCTTAATGGACCTAAAATCCAGATATCAATTTCACATTCCCTTTTTCTTTTCTTTTTTTTTTTTTGAGTTGGAGTTTCACTCTGTCGCCCAGACTGGAGTGCAGTGGCCACTCCCGGCCACTGCAACCTCGACCTGCTGGGCTCCAGCGATCCTTTCAAGTAGCTGGAACCACAGGTGCATGCTACCACGCTCGGCTCATTTTTTGATTTATTGTAGAGTTGAAGTCTCGCCAAGTTGCCCAGGCGGGTCTCGAACCCACGGGCTCAGGCAATCCACTCACTTCAGCCTCCCAAAACGCAGGATTGCAGGCTGAGCCACCAAGCCTGGCTTCCCTTTTTCTTATTGTCTTTATTATTGCCTATGCTTATTGAATCATAGTTCTATACAAATTTTCAGTGAGCACTAAGGAATTTGTTTTAAATTAGGAAATTCTTAAGAATTTGAGATAATGAGATTCACTTAGGCAGCTGGCTGCCAATTCTATGAACTCACTTCAAGACAAAAGTTGCTTCTTCATATATAAGACTGTATAGGCATATAAATTATTCTATACTATGGTGGTAAAATATAATTCTGACTTTTAATGTCAAAATTCAGGAAATGATCTTAGAATTGTAAACTTTGTATTTCTAAACTGTTTTATGCAGCATTTCATTTTGCGTCACATGTAAGCAAATATTGATATATCATTTTAAATCTAATAAAGTTGGTGATCAGGGCATTCTACAAACATTATCACTGAGTTTGTGTTAGACTGATAGCATGAATCTTTTGACTGTTGTTAAGAGTCACATTTCTTTTAAATAACTAATTTGGGTCTCTCTGAAATAGAGTTCTCAGCCTTGCTGCTGTTGACAATTTGATCTGAATAATTTTTTTGTAAGGTGTGGTCTTGCCCATTGTACAATATTTAGCAACATCCCACTAGATGTCTGTAGCAAATTATGAAAACCAAAAATATTTTTTATAAACATTGGCACATAGCTCCTAAGGTATAAAATTGCCCCCTGTTGAGAACCACTATTCTGAAGTCATTTCATCATTTTTAGAAATGTGAGAGACTCCTCAAAATTATTACATTGAATATCCAAAAACTGTAGCTTACTGATGAACATGAACATTCACTACCATGTTCCTAAGAGAAATAGCAGATTACATGACTGGTGATTCTTCAGTGAATGGCTATTTCAAATAGCTAGAAAATGTGCTCAGAGAATTTCTCTCATGCTTCTGCCCTAGTCAGAGAGTACCATTAAATTTTGCCACGCAGATAGCATTTTGTGAAAAACATCCTCTAGCAGAGTTTCTCTTCCTTGACCACAATCCCCATTAGGAAATACATTTTACATAACAGCTCCATATCCAAGCAATGGAATGCATACACAAATTGAAATAGAAGTTTCATAAAACAGTGTTTATTCTTACAAAATACAAAATAGTCTAATGTTTTCTATTTTATTCTACTCTATCCTATTCAATTCTATTCCACTTTTAAAAAAATGCTTGTTCTACCAACTAAACAGTCTAATGGATCCTGACTTACAGTGCCTATGAAACATTCTGGAATAATCATTCATCCTTATTAGCATTCATTTGTTATTGTCTCATCTTCTTGTACCACTCTCATCACTTTCAACCTCTCCCTATTATATTCAAAATACAATTGCAAGCCTGGCACAGTGGCTCATACCTGTAATTCCAGCACTTTGGGAAGCCAAGGTGAGAGGATTGTCTGGGTCCAGAGATTCAAGACCTCGTCTCTACAGTAAATAAAAAAATTAGCCATGCATGGTGGTGTGCACCTGTAATTCCAGCTACTTGGAAGGCTGAGGCAGAAGGACCGTCTGAACCCAGCAGGTCGAGGCTTCAGTGGCCGTGAGCGTGCCACTGCACTCCAGCCTGGATGACAGAGTGAGACTCCGACTCAAAAAAAAGAAAAGACAAAATACAATTATAGTCAGATTATAATGCTACCCGGTAATTTTGTTTCCATGCTCCTAACGCCTACTTTATTTCCCATTTTCCTGAAAAGTAGAGCCTAAGTCCATGTCACCAAAGTACTTTACAATATGTCAACAACACATAGCATATTTCTTTTGCTTGTCCTCAGTGCTCTGTAACGCTGGATGTCACTCTCTATTTCTTGAACACATCCTCCCCTTTGGTCACCCAGTACTCTTCACTCTACAAGTTCAAGCTCAAATATCCCCTCTGCCGAGAATGCTTTTCTTCTTATCCCAGACAAAATTACTCTTCATCCAAGCCTCTTTGAACTTTCTTGTTCCTCCTCTAAAGCACTTCCGCTACTTTACTGTGTATTATGGTTTTTATATGCATGCATTATCTCTGGAAATATTCTTAAATTCTAGCCAGATATGAGGTATGGTGGCGCACCTCTGTAATCCCAGCACTTTGGAAGGCTGAGATGGGAGGATAACTTGAGGTCAGGAGTTCAGGACTAGCCTGGGTAAAATAGTGAAACTCCATCTCTACAAAAACTTTTTTCAAATGAGTTTGGTGTGGTGGTGTATGCCTGTAATCTCAGCTGCTCAAGAGGCTGAGTTGGGATGCTCACTTGAACCCGGGAATTTGAGGTAGCAAAGAACTATGATAGCGCCACTGCACTTCAACATGGGTGACTGAGCAAGACCCTGTATCAAAACAAACAAACAAAAGGCTGTGGTGATACAGGGAAAAAAGAAAAATATTTTTAAAAAAATCTTAAATTCCATTAGGCTAAGAAACTGCTTTATTCATTTTTGTATCCTCCACAGTTTTTAGAACAATCTTTTGTATATATTGTGTGTTAGATAAATGTCTGATGAAAGAATAAATTCACAGAGCCAAGTATGATGCTTATGTGGTCAAGAGACTTCAGTTCATAGTTGTCAGCTGCTTCCCCCACATCACTTCCTTCACTCTGCTCTCCAACCTGGATGGTCCCACTTTGCAAATTCTTTTTTTTTTTTTTTTTTTTTTT